AAAAAAACTAAATTTGATAGTCTTTGTTTGATCAATAGATTTTAAGCTTGTATTTTTATATCTAAATGTTACTCTGCCATAGTCAACACAATAGTCGAGACTGTAGTCCACATTTTAGAAGTGATAAGGGTACACACTACAGTCAAAACTATAGTCCACACTATAGTTAAGACTTAAGGTTGCAATATATTCAAGTATAGATCTTAGTCAAGATTATATAGTCCAAGGCTATAGTGCAAACTATAGTCAAGACTATAGTTCACACTATAGTCAAGACAATAGTCTGATTGTAGTCTATACTGTAGTCAAGACAATAGTCTACATCGTAGTCCACATTACAGTCAATACTATAGTCCACACAATAGTCAAAACTATAATCCACACTATAGTCAAGGCTATAGTCCACACTATAATCAAGACTATAGTACACACTACAGTCCACAATATAGTCCAGACTAAAGCCCACACTATAGTCTACACTATAGTCAAGCCTATAGTCCATGCTCTAGTCTACACCCTAGTCAAGACTTTACTATACTTCACTCCAGTTGACACTACAGTCAAGACTACCGTCAAAACTACACTCAAACATAGCTGCATAGTTTAGACTATAATTCATACTTTAGTTCACACTATAATCAAACTATAGCCCACACTATAGTTAAGTCTATAGTCAAAAAAATAGTCCACACTATAGCCAAGACTTAGTTAAAATTCCAATCTACAAGATAGTCAAGGATTCAGTCAAGATTACAGTCCGATATGTAGTAAAGTATAGATGTTTATTCAAGATTATAGTTCACACATAAAGTTCACACTATAGTCCATACTATAGTCAAGATTATAGTCAAGACCATAATCCACACTATAGTCAAGATTATAGTCAAGACCATAATCCACACTATAGTCAAGACTGTAGTCCATACTATAGTCAAGACCATAGCCCATACTATAGTCAAGACTATAGTCTATACTATAGTCAAGACTAAAGCCCATACTATAGTCAAGACTAAAGCCCATACTACAGTTAAGAGTATAGTCCATACTATAGTTAAGGTTATAGTCCATACTATAGTCAAGACTATAGTCCATTCTATAGTCCATACTATAGTCAAGATATAGTCCATACTATAGTCAAGACTATAGTCCATACTATAGTCAATATTATAGTACATACTATAGTCAAGGCTATAGTCCATACTATAGTCAAGACTATAGTCCATACTATAGTCAAGACTATAGTCCATACTATAGTCAAGACTATAGTCCATACTATAGTCAAGACTATAGTCCATACTATAGTCAAGACTATAGTCCATACTATAGTCAAGACTATAGTCCATACTATAGTCAAGACTATAGTCCATACTATAGTCAAGACTATAGTCCATACTATAGTCCAGACTATAGTCAATACTGTAGTCCAGACTATAGGCCATACTATAGCCCAGACTATAGTCCATACTATAGTCAAGACTATAGTCCATACTATAGTCAAAACTATAGTCCATGGTATAGTCAAGACTATAGTCCATGGTATAGTCAAGACTATAGTCAAAACAATTGTCCATATTATAGTCAAGACTATAGTCCATACTATAGTCAAGACTATAGTCCATACTACAAGACTACAGTTCGAAATATAGTCAAGACTATAGTTCATACTATAGTCAAGATTACACTCAAGAAATATAGTCAAGTATATATACTTAGTCCACAGTGTAGTCTATACTATAAACCTCGCTATAGTCGAGACTATAGTCCACACTGAAAGACTGCAGTTCGAAATATAGTCAAGTATACATACATAAATACTTAGTCCTGAGTATAGTCTAGACTATAGATCTCGCTATAGTCATGAATATAGTCCATACTATAGTCAAGGCTATAATCCATACTGTAGCCAACACCATACTATAGTCAAGACTATAGTATATACTATACTCAAGTCTATATATAGTCCATACTATAGTCAAGACTATAGTCCACAGTATAGTCTACCCTATAAACCTCGCTATAGTCACACTATTGTCAAGTATAATCCAATATATACTTAGTCTACACTAAAATTACGTATAATCCAATACTATATCCTCCGCCATTTAATTTTTAAAATTTTTAAGTTATTAATTTTCGATTATTTAATCAAACTTTGAAATAAATGTTCGTTTTTTCTTTTCAGATTCAACTTTCAAAATAAATACTGGTAAGTGAAACTACATACAATTAAAACTAACATATATATATATATATATATATATATATATATATATATATATATATATATATATATATATATATATATATATATATTCTTCAAAATATGCGATTTCTTAAGATTTTCGTATATAGACCGTTTTTCGGAAATAATACGATAGTCGAGACATCTAAATAAATTTCTAGAAATCTATTAAATCCTTAATCAATACCTAACTGACACTCTAAAAACAAATATATTTATCAAAGTCAAACAATATACTAAATTAATCACTCAACAGAAATATTACTTAAAATTTTGAACCAACTCATTCCCCATCAATCACTATTTAACGAAACAAATACTGTTTACTGCAGCAACAAAAAGAGTTAAGAATTATTTTAAATTATATAGAGTTTAACAAAAAAAAAAATCGTCATAATCTTTTTTTAAACTGCAATCTCAGACACACCCACTAATTGTAAAAGAGGGGAGGGAGCAAGTTAGCTAGAGATCATCTATTTAAGGCGTTCATGTATGAATGTAAAACTACAAGCGATTTGTATTGAAACGAATTATTAATTTTTCTGCTTTTTTGTATTTAAAAACAAAACAACAATAAATTTAAAAAAATACATGATTTTTATCACAAAAAAAAAAAAAAATAATAATATTTGCATATAAGAAAACAATCATGTATGCAAAATTAAATACTTTGGCTTATAATATGAGTATTAGATAAAAAAATGCCTTAAAGGCAAATAATTTTTCTGTATTTCTTTATTAAATTTTGTTAACATGGCTAAGACGCTTCTTAAGTTTTGAGCCAAAACGAATGTGAGAATGATATTAAGGCTTCTGTTAACAGCTGAAATTTTGTTTGATTTATATAGAGTTTCGTTTTGGTACTTTTTTTTTGGTGTTTCTTTTCAGTGGTAGTTTTATGAGGGTGTTGCAGCTTTTAAACTTAATTATCAAATGTTGTTACCAAATTTATTTTGTTTAGTTGTTGAGTTGTAACCAGCATTTCTTTAGGGTTTATAATTTTGTATTTTTGTTGACATGATTGTCTTTATATTCACAGGGTTTTGGTTTACAGTATCATAATCGATTTTTGATTTTTTTAATTTTCGCTTATAGTTTCGATAAGTTATGAAACGAGATATATTATTTAAAATTTTTTATGCCAAAATGTTTGTTAAACATTAATTTTGAATGACAAGATGCATGTTGAAAGATTAAGGTTGTCTGGATGGGAGAAAAAAGCGGTGGGTTGTCTGGACTTGTGATTTGTACACTATTCTAGGTTATTATCCACACAATAGTCCACACTGTAGTCAAAATTGCAGTCGAGACTTTAGTCCATACTTTTTTTGTGCCTCCAGTCCATGCTATAGTCGAAACTGTAATAAACACTATATTTTTAAAACTTTAGGCCACACTATGCTCAAGACTCTAGTCCACACTACGGTCGAGACTGTAGTTCATACGATAATCGAGACACTCTAGTTCATAGTATAGTTGAGACTTTTGTTCATACTTTAGTTGAGACATTAATCCATACTATAGTTGAAACTCTAGTCTAGTTGAGACTCTAGTCCATTATAGTCGAGACTCTAGAACACATTGTAGTAAAGGGTCTAATCCAACATATAGTCCATATTATAGTTGAGACTCTAGTCCACGCTATACCTGATATTCTAGTCTACACGATAGTTGAGACTGTAGTCCAGTCACTAGTTCAAACTCAAGGCCTTAATATAGTAAAAACTCTATAGTCCACACTAAAGTCGACTATAGTCTAAACTATAGTCGAGAATTTAGTCCATACTATAAACAATCATATCGTCCATACTATAGTTAAAACTATAGTTCATACGTTAGTCGAGAGTATAGTCCACACTATCGTTGAGACTCTATTCCATACGATACTCGAGAATCTAGTCCACTCTAAAGTCGAGAATCTAGTCCATTCTATAGTTGAGACTCTACACCCTACTATAGTTGAGACTACAGTCTATACAATAGTCGAGATTATAGACAACACTATAGTCGAGATTCAAGACCACACTCTAATTGAATCTCTAATCTATACAATAATCGAGATTATACTGCTATATAGTAGAAACGGTACTGTTGTCTTCTTATTTGTACTTTAGTAGAGTAGTAGTAACTAAGTATAGTCCATATTATAGTCGATATTCAAATCCATACTATAGTCGAGACTCTACTGCATTACTATAGTGTAGTCTCTAGTCATACTATAGTCCAGATTCTAGTCCATACCATAGTCGATAGTCAAGTACATACTATAGTCGAGACTCTACTCCATATTATAATCTAGTCTTTAAACATACTGAGACTGTAGTCCATACTATAGTCGATATTCAAGTCCTTGCTATAGTGGAGATTCTACTCCATACTACAGTCTTGTCTCTAACCATACTATAGTAGAGAGAGACTCTAGTCCATACTAATGACGATCCCCTTGTTCACAATTTAGTAAAGACTCTAGTCCATACGATAGTCGAGACTCTAATACATACTATAATCACTTAGCCACACTAAAGTCGAGACTCTGACCCAAACTATAGTCGATAATCTAGTGCACATTATAGAGGAGATTCTAGTCCGTATTTCAGTCGATATTCTAGGCCATACTATAGTTGAATCTTTGGTCTATAATGTAGTCGAGAATCTAGTTCATATTATAGTCAAGACACCAGTCCACACTTCTATTAAGACTCTATATTTATATAAAAATTTCAAAATATTCAAAAAGTACTATTTAAAATGTACTCACCTTAAATTATTTAATAGAGGAAGTATTTTTAGACCTAAAATGACAAAATAGAAAATAGACAGAACACATTAATATATTTCAAAATTAATAATGTTAAAAATAAAATAAAAACTAGTTAAATTGTGTTAAACAATAAGAATTATTTCCGGATTATTGGCTTAACACCCACATTTCTATTCTTAAAATACTTAATTTTAACAAATATAAAAAAAAACATAAAAAGAACAACTCATCAACATTTCAACTTGTTTTTTCCATAGAAGTTCTTATTATCAATATTAATTTATCACAAGAATTAAAACAACAACAAAAACTGACATGTGGCACAGATTAATAATAATTATTGCCCCGAAGAAAAAGAGAAAAAAAAAACGAACTGGAATAAAAGTATTTCAAATGTTAAATGCCACTTGTCTCGCTAAATCCCTTAGAGAACACAAAAATTTAAATGAACTGGAAAAAAAACTTAATTTGAGTTCATGAACTTTATAAAGAACAAAAACAACAATACTTGCTATAACAGAATTCTTACTAAAAGGGAACTACAACAACATCATGCATCATTTGACCAAAACATTTAATGATGAAGAGACAAATAAATGAATGACTGACTGACTGAGTATAATGAGTGAATGATTGTTATTTTGTTGGTTTGATTTGACTTTATTACTTGCAACAAGTACTTGCCATAGGCATGCAACATTTACAACGTTTAAATATAAACTATTAAGTTGGAAAAAAGTTTTTATAATCAAAGTATTAAAACAAAATATTTATTCATTGTTTTCAATTAAAATAAATTAAGTTGCGCTTCATTTATGAATACAAAAAAAAAAAAGAAGAAAAAAATAATAAATAAATACTAGTACTTTATAAATGCTTAACAACGTTACTCCTCTGGAATTATTTCGAACCAAGTTTTTAAATGCAACTGCATTGTCATACCATGCAAATTTACTATACCATTGCTGTACTACATATAGTAAAAGTTAAGAATATTTTGTGACAAATGGTTGACAATTTTTTAAACATTTCTCTTAAATTATAAAGAATTGTTCGAAAAAAGTAAAAAAAATGCATATGCATGTTATCGTATGTTTATATAGAATTATGTGAGTCCAGATGTGAATTTGTATATAGTAGAAAAATAAACAGTAGAATTTCGATTAACTATTCTATAGGCCGAGAAAATATTCGATACTATAGTCGAGACTTTAGTCCATACTAAAGTCCATACTATAGTCCATACTACAGTCGAGACTATAGTCCATAAACCTACAGTCGAGACTATAGTCCATACTATAGTCAAGACTACAGTTCATACTACAGTCAATACTATAATCCATACTATAGTCAATACTATCGTACAAAATATAGTCAAGACTATTGTACATACTATAGTCAAGACTATCGTCCATACTATAGTCCATACTATGGTCAAGACTATCGTCCATTCTATAGTCAAGACTATAGTCCATACTATAGTCCATACTATAGTCAAGACTATAGTTCATACTATAGTCATTATTATAGTTCATGCTATAGTTTAGACTATAGTCAAGACTTTAGCCAAGACTATCGTCCATACTATAGTCAAGACTATAGTCCATATTATTGTCAAGACTATAGTATATACTATAGTCAAGACTATAGTCTATACTATAGTCAAGACTATAGTCTATACTATAGTCAAGACTATAATCTACACTATAGTCAAGACTATAGTCCATACTATAGTCAAGACTTTAGTCCATACTATTGTCATGACTATAGTCAGGACTATATATAGCTATAGTCTAGACTATAGTCAAGACTATTGTCCAGACTATATTCCATACTATAGTCCATACTATAGTCAAGACTATAGTCCATACTATAGTCAAGACTATAGTCCATACTATATTCAAGACTATAGTCCATACTATAGTCAAGACTATAGTCCATACTATAGTCAAGACTATAGTCCATACTATAGTCAAGACTATAGTCCATACTATAGTCAAGACTATAGTCCATACTATAGTCAAGACTATAGTCCATACTATAGTCAAGACTATGGTCTATACTATTGTCAAGACTATAGTCAGGACTATAGTCAGGACTATAGTCCATACTATAGTCAAGACTATAGTCCATATTATTGTCAAGACTATAGTATATACTATAGTCAAGACTATAGTCTATACTATAGTCAAGACTATAGTCTATACTATAGTCAAGACTATAGTCAAGACTTTAGTCCATACTATTGTCATGACTATAGTCAGGACTATATATAGCTATAGTCTAGACTATAGTCAAGACTATTGTCCAGACTATATTCCATACTATAGTCCATACTATAGTCAAGACTATAGTCCATACTATAGTCAAGACTATAGTCCATACTATAGTCAAGACTATAGTCCATACTATAGTCAAGACTATAGTCCATACTATAGTCAAGACTATAGTCCATACTATAGTCAAGACTATGGTCTATACTATTGTCAAGACTATAGTCAGGACTATAGTTCATGCTATAGTCTAGACTATAGTGAAGACTATATTTCATAATATAGTCAAGACTATAGTTCATACTATAGTCAAGACTATAGTCCATACTATAGTTAAGACTACAGTCCATACTATAGTCAAGATTATAGTTCATAATATAGTCAAGACATAAGTCCATACTAATGTCAAAACTATATGTAAACCATGCCATAGTAAAAACTCTGGTCCATACTGCTTACACTATTGGTCTATTTTAGAACCAAGTCGAGACCCTAGTCCTTTCTCAAAAGGGGAATATAAAAATCATTTATCGCAGCAAATATTTTTAATAGAATATCAGTGATCAAATTTAAAATGATCAACAATCACATTTACAACAGTGATTTAATCTAAAAGTGATCGATAAAAGGTTACTTGGATCTGGAAAAGATCGTAGCCAAAATTGGTTGACACAAATAATAGTGATCGAATAGTCAGTGATATGAGTTAAAATTGGTTGACAGAAGAGTTGAAATTGGATCACTACTATTCTTCGAAAAAAAAGATCAGTGTTAGATAATAGGATGAGTGATAGAATGTAGTTGATAAAAATAACAGTGATCGGAACTGAAATTGGTTAAGATTGTTTGACAAAAAATTGGTTTACAAAAGGAACAGAAATCGAAGTTAATATTGGCTGTAAAAGGAGCTATTATCGTCGATAAAATTGACACACATTGAAGCTGATATTGTTGAGATTGGAGTAAATATTTGATTAACAGAAAGATCAGCGATCAAAGTTTATATAGGTTGACAAAAGCTAAAGTGATCAAAGATAATATTGGTTGTAGAATGCAATCAAAGTTATTATTTTTTGAGAGAAATATCAGTGATCAAAGTTAAAGAAGAAATGCGATAGAAACTAATATTTGTTGAAAAAAAAAAAAAAAAACGATCAATGATCGATGCTATCTTTAATAAAAAGAACTGTTGACGAAGCTAAAATTAATTTATTAACTATCTAAGTGATCTTATAAATAAAGATCAGTGTTAGAGGGTGAAATTTGTTAAAAAAAAAAATAATAACAATCTAAGCTTATCTAAGCTTGCAAAAGGATCAACGAATAAAGCTTTCAAAAGTAGTGATCGTAATTAGAATTGTTTGTTAAAGTATTAATGATCAACAGAAGACCGATCTTCTGATATAAACTAAAATTGGTTGATAAAATTAAATAGCCGCGACTATAGCCAATGCTTTAGTCAAGTTGAAGTGTATTCCAATTAATTGATATTTTACTGTAATATTTTACTTTAAACCAGTGGACAACACATGTATTTATATATTTCCTTCATTACAATTGTGTATGGATTGTTCCAATGTTTTATGTCTGGCAGACTGATTGTTATTTAATGAATTTATTTAAATATTTTTTTTGGAACACAAAGTGAATTATTACGTTTGTATTTTCATTTCTTATATTCAGAAGATTAAATAATAAATATTTTTTTTTTTTAAATTTCATTTCTCCCAGTGTAAATATTTCCAAAAATTCTGGGATTGCTGTCATCACCAGAACATAAAAATTTTAAACATTGAATGGAATCAGATTTTATATGAAGCTTATCGCTTTTTAAATTAGATTTTTGAATTTAAAACGTTTTGCTTGAAATGAATTGATAAATTATTTGGTAGAATCTTCAAAGAATGAAACATGTAGATTTGAAAAATTTGGCTCTTTGTTTTTCATTCATACTTTTATTAATGGGTTTTTGATGACAATAAATCTGATTATAAATAAAACAAATAATATGTAATTAAATTTTCTTAGAATTGTTTAATTAACAGTTTGTTGTATGGAATTGTTTTTATTAAAAAAACTGGAACTGAAACAATTAAATCATGTTTTTGTCAGTTGCTAATGATCTGTTTTATTTCTTTGAAATAGAAGTGGAATATTTGAACATATTTTGGTTAATTTTGTTTATATTTCCTTTAAAACTCAAGTATTAGGTTTTTGTGTTAATTGTTAAAATACATTAAAATAAAATAAATTTTTTTCAGTGTATTTTCAACATCTTGTTAGCATATCTTGTAACGTTTATCATGTATTAATTTAATAAACATCTGATTTTTTTATTAATAATTTTTTTAACCAGAAGGCAAAAGTAAACTTTATCAAATGTGCTAAATACCGTGATGCATAACTTTGAAAAATAAAATTAATAATAATAAATTGTATAAAATTTATAAAAATTATTCATAAATATGAGATTTTTATTAATTATTTAATAACATATTACTATAACTAAAGGCATACAATTAAATGTTTTTTTATTTAAAAAAAACTTTCATTTGTATATGGGAATTGTATGCAAAAATTAACAACAATGTTAATAATTTGCTCTAGTCATAATTGGCGGCAAATCTAAAGATTATTAAGCTAAAACTATAAAAAATTAATAAATTTTAATTATAAATTTAAACAAGGGAAATGTTAAAATCTGGTAACCCCATAAAATAGTTAATAGTCTATTAGTTTGTAGGTTACGGGTTCCATT